GACCCCCTAACCTCTTTTACCTTCATATAATATTATTGATAATGATGGTCCTAAATAAAACTCTGCATTTGTAATAATAATTCTAAACAACAATGATAACAACTATGATGGCATTTTGGTAAACAAAACATTTAAACTTGAAGTCCATTTATTTGTAAAAGAATAAAAGTGAAGGCAGAAGTTTGTGGTGATTCCAAAGGTGACTTCTGAGCCTATCCCAAAGCTTTTGAAGTTGTTGTCACTGCTCCTTTATTAAATCTAATTTACACTGGAGGAATGGATATGGGATAGGAAAGGGGAAGCTGTAGGTCAGAAGATATAGGCAAGTCATCTCAGTTTGGAGAAGTACACTTAATATTTGTTCAGTTGTCTATATCTCCTCTAAGACAATCCATATCCATGAGGTCTTCCTTTACTGTTACACTCCCTTAAATGAAAATACTCTCCTATTAATCTCTTATATACATATTGACAAATGATTTTTCATATTTATGCTTATTGACCACCCTAGAGTAAATAGAACCATTTTCTGTACATGGGTAAAAATTTTAGAATTCTTTCCTAATAGATTTCTTTAACACTAATGCCCAGTCAAATCAGAAGACAAATAATATGAAACAGCCTTTAATGCTTATCTAAGTTGAGTCCTTAATCATAAAGCTTTAGCTCAGCATGAGCTTTTAGTTTACAATGAGGAGGAAGGAAGGTTTTAGTTTTTGCAGCATATATATTTCTAGTACTCCTTTCTGATTTTATGGGCAATTCTGTCTTCATGCTTCCTTAATCTTGAAGCTCTTTCAAAGGCAACATACTGTGCCAAATGTACAGTGATTATGTAATGTGGACAAAAATCCAGTGGGAAATGTGTAGAGCAGATCAAAATCATTCCACTTAAGACCTTTTACAGTCATTTGATCTAATGATGTTCACTAGGGTTTGACGTACTAAAAGGCAGCCACTGTGCGAACATAAGGTTTGCATCAACATAAGACTTTTCAGTGAAACTGGGATCAGTGTGGCATTTTGAAGACTGCTTTACATACAAAATAATAATATCTTTACAAAACAAATCCCATGGCATACTTTCTGAATCACTGAGTTATATGCTACTTCCTATGAAAAATCTCTTTCTCTTGTCAAATAGACATCAAAGTAGTATCTTATATGAATGTGAAGCAAAATAGAGAAATCCATTGATTACTCACATTGGAAGTATGGCTCACCTGAATTTTTGGAGAAAGAGTAAGTTTTCATGTAGTTTTCTACTTCCATTTACACTTACAGACACGGATCAAATTATTACATGTGCTTTCATGTTTGAGCTAGAAACTATTTTCTCATTTATTTTAATTTTCTATTCTTCAGTTACTTTTTCCAAAGTGCACCAATATTGTATATTTCAGAATTTAAAAATACATGCCTGACTTCTACTTTCAATTCAGACATGTAAAGAGCTTGGGAGTCATTACTCGTGTCCTTACAATAAAAAAACCTGAATTAACTGAAAAGCAGTGATTTCATGGACCACAGAGAACTGAGGTAACAGGGCAAAGTGCCACCCAGAAATCTGGAAAGGCAAATCCACAGTCACAGTCAAGATCTGCTTGCCTGGAACAGAAGCCACCGAAGCCATAAACTGGTAGGAACACTTACAGGGTGATTTTGACAAAACTGCTGGAGGTTGAGTAGACTAGTGTGAAAATGTCTTGGGGGGACCCCACACATTTTACCTCAAGGAACCCCACCAGATTCTCACAGTGAAGATCTAAGAAGGATCCCTCAGGGCTCTGGCAAGAGCAGGGAAGAATAATCTTTGTGAAACACAACCAGATTCTTCTCCATAAGAAAGACCTAAAATTTAGGGGTAAAGACTTTACCTGAGGCTCATCTTAGCTGAGAGAAGGAGATTCCTCCATCTCTAGCACTCTCCAGCCTTCCTACTCTACCTAGGGAAGGGGAAAAAAAACCAATAAGAAACAGGAGTCAGAGATTCAAAGAAATAGAATAGGAATCCTGCAGCCAGAGAAGGGGATTAGAGACAAGGGGGAGAAATCTATACCCCTGGAGAAACACTTGTAAAGGTCATAGCCCTAAAACACAGATCAACTAAAAGACTCAGATTGACTTATAAAAGAATAGAATTCTTCCCCTCCTCCGTGCCTTACCACATTGTTGACTGAAAAAAAAATACACAACCTAAAAGTTGAGAGTTACTTTTTATTTGGTGGACATTCTGAGGACTTCAAGCCCAGGACACAGCGTTTCAGATAACACTGAGAAAGTGTTCTGAAGAGGCAACAGAGGAAACCGGGATACATAGGAGTTTTTGCAACAAAAGACCAGGTAGTTGGAACATCAAAAGATTACTGTTAATAAAAGAAATCCAGATATTTCATGTTAAAGAATTTAGCACTTTTCGGGCTTCCCTGGTGGCGCAGTGGTTGAGAGTCCGCCTGCCGATGCAGGGGACACGGGTTCGCACCCCGGTCCGGGAAGATCCCACATGCCGCGGAGAGGCTGGGTCCGTGAGCCATGGCCTCTGAGCCTGCGCGTCCGGAGCCCGTGCTCCGCAACGGGAGAGGCCACAACAGTGAGAGGCCCGCGTATTGCAAAAAATAAAAAATTAAAAAAAAAAAAAAAAAAAGAATTTAGCACTTTTCTATGTATGGGAAGATGCAAGAGTCTAGGCTCACTGAAATCATTCCTTTGATATGCACCTCAGCTACCTGGGGCCACCATCCTGTGCTTTCTCACCCTGACTCTCCTCAGGGTGCACCTTCAGGAGTGGCTGCAGCAGTTGACTGCTAGATGGTCGGTATCCTGTTTCTGTCCTGAGTTCCCTCAGGGCTCACCATCACCATGTAGTAATGTGTAATGTGGTGGCTCGGTGGCTACAACATCCTTTGTTTACCGATATGGACGGCAATATTTTAGTTCACAGTGGCAACAGGGCTCCAGTATAACAACAGAGGGTTATAGCTGAAAGAGCTACAAAATGCTGACTCTCTCTGAGGAGTGCTTAAAGAAGCCCAAAAGTCAACAGGGGAGATAAAACAAGAACACAAGAGGAATATGAAGCTGCTTATACCTACTGCTACAGCAAATATAAAAACAGACCAACTCTTAGCCAGATTAGCATAAATCATCATATGATGATGAGGCCTATTTACCTCAGTTCCTATTACCAGTATATCATGTCTGATTTTCAACAAAAGGATACCAGTTATGCTAAAAGACAAGGCAACACAGAGTCCAAAGAGACAAAGTAAGCATCAGTACCAGACAGATATGACACACATTAGAATTATTAGACAGGGAATTTAAAATAAGCATGATAAATATGTTAGGGCTTTGACTTTAAAAAAAAAGGTAGACAACATACAAGAATAGATGGGCACTATAAACAGAAAAATAAAAATCAGAAAGAAATATCAGAAATAAAAAACTGCAACAGAAATGAAGAATGCCTTTGGTAAGCTCAACCACAGGTTGTGCATGGCAGAGGAAAGAATCAATAAGCTTGAAGATAGGTCAGTAGGAACTTCCCAAGCTGAAAAGAAAAAGTAAAAACAGCAAAAAAAAAAAAAAAAAAAAAAAAAAAAAAA